TAGACTGTTAGTGGCAAACCAGAGATTATTTAGAATCAGTTAATTTTAAATTTTCCCATTTACCCAAGATTTATACTAATAGCTCATATATAATATTGCTGGTATCCATGGTACTTTGCTGGTTTACTTGACAGGACTAAAAATTGTACTTGAGGACGAGTCTAAAAATCACAGGTACTCGCCAGAGCGCAGTGCCTAGCATAGTGGCAAAGCAGAGAGTTTTTTAGACTCTTCCTCAAGTTCATTTTTGAGTCCTATAAGTAGACCAGTAAAGTATCTTGGATACCAGAATCATCATACATAAGAAATCTGTTAAAATCTTGAGTAAATGAGGAAATTAAAAATGAACTGATTCTAGAAAATCACTGGTTTGCCACTATGGTGCCTAGGGCTAGTCTCGGCTAGATGGCTAGTAGCCTAGTGCCACTAGCCATGAGTGTTTTTGGATCATTTGCTGGTGGATTATTCTAAAATTTTCAGTCTAGCATCAAGCAAACGTATTAAAGGATAGGAATGTGTACGTATAAATACCTTATAAGTTATAAGGTAATTAAGTTCAGCAAATAAATTGCCGTTCATTTGTCAAATTTGGTTCGCCCTTGACATTTCACCGTCGTCCTTTTCGAATGTCACTACCTGCATTTATTTTTGTTTACATTGCAGAAAGTCCCCATAGTAGATAAAATTCCCCTTATTTCCGTCATTCACGTAAACGGATGGAGGCTGCTCTTATTTATTGAATCAATATCTCGACGATAGGCTACGTCTCCAATATAGTTGATTAATATATTTAAAATGAATCTAAATTGATGAAATCTTCTCTAATTCGTTGTATAGCAGAACATTCATCATATACTGGGTCTATATTGCAACGATCAGTGCACTCAAATAGGTTAAAAAATCTAATTCATTATTACACTAAGATACCAAACACAAACAATTTGCTTTGGATTCATAATCATTGCTTCACGATATATGAAAAGGAGTCAAAATTAGAATATCACAATATTTAATGATATGCTTTGGTTAATTTTTAGTTTTGAAACATGTCGTTGAAGTGTGTTTTTTTTAGTTCAAACTAACTGTGAACGGATACTCCAATTGCTAGTACAATTAGCCGATAATTGAGACACATTCTTAGTGATCAAGCTTCTGGGAAACGTCGAGAACTGATAAAAAGGACAGCAAGAGGTGAAAAGAAAACAAATACGGAATGTGGTTTACTATTATGCAATTACAATATTTCCTGGAAGTGAGCTCTACAGAGATGATCCACCGCTATCGTAAGCTAGACAGACAATCGGATAAACGCGCGCGACGTCTGACGTGCCAGCACATTCTTGAAAAATACTCGAAGCCAAAAAGACTTCAGTTTGTGACGACAGAAATCTTACAGGTTCGTTTTACAGTAAGCACAGCAACATATATATTCATATATTTATTTTATTCCAAATATGGACGATACATAAGCTATGTGGGAGCAATATAACGTGGACGATAGCTGACAACATTGACCGTCGAGTGGATCCCCTGGATAAAGCAAGAAACAATTTTAGCTTTAATGATACAATGTCTCACATTTTTTATCTAGTTAAAAATTGTTGGACTATCAAACCGATATTTTATGCTTAAAAATTCAATAGAAAACTCTGTGGTAAGATAACGCTGTATGCGAGAGGGTAAGTGCGGTAGGAGTATATACAAGAGTTACGGCTAATGCTAACCATAGTATCACATTCAATGGGGAAATGAAGTCACCGCACGAGGGATTGTCAATCTCTACCACTACTAACATAATAATGGTTAGGCAAAATGAGAATAATGACAAATTATAGTTACAGTTTCGGGGTGAAATATCTTTGAGTAATATATTACTACAACGTATAGGAAAGAGTATTGATACTAAAGCTGGTAATTAAACTTTCAAATATCTTAACGGTAAGAATGTACAATTGCATGTAGTTAAGTGGACAAACGCGTTGATTGAATTAAAAAAAAATATTCTGCAAGCGTTATAAGGATTACGAACTAAATCACAATCTGCGAAAACGATCAATAACATAGCTTACTAGCGTGGCCAAATATGCATAATATTTTGCCAACGAAGAATAGAAGAAGCGAGACGTAAATTTTTACTAAGACTTTGGGCTTCTGCTAAAAATTCTCAGAGTGATTAATAAAAGATAAATCTGGATCATGGGTGGACTGAAACTGAAGAAGGAAACGTCGTGTAATTTGTGCGTTGGACGCGCACAACACAGACAGACAATACAAGTCATGGTTGAACTATACAAGGTTGACCCACGAGAAGTTCCGCCTATCAGTTCAATTTTCTTCAGTTCAGTTTTTCAGTTCAGTTTCGTCACTGAAATCGAGAAACGTAAACAATCCCGTTACTCCCATGACGGATTGGTTGACTGGTTTGATCGCATTTCGGTGATTGGTCAATGCCCGTGACGTCACTGAGATCAGTGACGTCACAGGCTAACAACGAACTACATCCGTAATGGGCTTCTGATGGGTCAACCTTATACTAGTTCAACCATGATACAAGTGACCTGTGTCGGGCGTGCAGCACCGCCCATGACATCCATTACAAACTTGTTGAAATAAATCAACACATTTTAGTTACAAGAAGGAACAATGTACATTAAAATAAATATTATAATACAGTATAAGCTTAGTAACTTTGGTGACGAGAAGAGCAGCCAGAAAAAGAGAAGCATCGTGCGGGTCTGACTGCAACCGAAGTTAGCAAAGTATTAGTTAAGTTAAATTAAAGGAGGTTCAGAGCAGGGTTGTGAAGTGGCAGGGGCAACTCCTGGCCCGTGAGTGAAGACTACAACGTAACAGTTGAGTGAAAAAGGGGACTATCAATCTTTTCTAGGAATTGCTTTAATTTTGTAATTAAATTGCTTCGTGCAATCTGGGTTTGTTTGACGTGAGACGCCATGTCGGTCACAAACAATCGTGGACAAGTGAACATGACAATGAATGTTTGTTATTAACGAAAATATTTATAGCGACAGCATGATGGAGATTAAAGCCAGTAGTTAAAATAGGGTTAATGGAGCTATCGCTTTACCAAATAAAATTCGCAGAATTGCATATGAACTGATCAGGAAGAGAGTTCGTTGAGAAACTCCCTCAACAATGTGCGAATTACAAGGGAATTCTAAGATATAATTAGATCACAATTCTGGCAATGGAAAAGAACAAGGGTGGAATGCCAGCGCGACATTCAAGTCTATTGCTTCAATATAGAATTAATTTAGAATTTAACTTCTGGCAATGGATAAGAACAAAGATGGTATACCAGCGCGACATTCAAGTCTATTGCTTCAATATAGAATTAATTTAGAATTTAACTTCTGGCAATGGAAAAGAAAAAGGGTTGAATGCCAGCGGGACATTCAAGTCTATTGCTTCAATTTAGAATTAATTTAGAATTTAACTTCTGGCAATGGATAAGAACAAGGGTGGAATGCCAGCGCGACATTATAGTCTATTGCTTCAATATAAAATTAATTTAGAATTTAACTTCTGGCAATGGAAAAGAACAAAGGTTGAATGCCAGCGACATTCAAGTCTATTGCTTCAATATAGAATTTAAGGCCAGATATCTCACGGGACAAGCGGGAATTTGACATCATAAGATCCTAACAAGGAACATACAATAGAAAATTCAACTGCAACGTTAATTAAGACACAATTGTTTACGGCGTAATTATGTTTATAAGTTGCTATAAAACATGAATAATATGTAAGCTTGAGGGAAGGCAATAAAATATTCCCGTTGAGTCTTTGAAACCAACATGTTCGACTTGTAATTTTTAGTAACAATTAACATTAAGAGAACCAAAAGTTTAACTGATATAAAATCATAATTGTCATTATATTACAATTGCAACCAGCAGTCTGGTAAATTACAGAATTTATTGGTCACCGTCTTGAAAAACTAGATACGTTCAGCAGCAGGCATGAGAGATGTAGAACTTTGGGATAACGCTATCTACTCTCACAAACCTGGTGAAGTATCAAAGAGCTATGGACTAACAACTCTACTATAGCTGCGCTAAATACATACCAACAAATTATACTAAGTATACGCATAAAACGTATGAAATTTGCCTGCACTAACTATTAATACAGATGAAAATATCTACGTTTTAACATTAGCCCCCTGAACTCCGATTGATTGCACCATATTTTGCGTAACGAATTTTAGAAGAGCAGAAATTCTTTATCTATCCAGACGATTCCGTACATCCGATTACGAAATCTAGTTTCATAGTCCGTACCGTAGTAGTGCAAATTCAATACAGCCACCATAGTTTAATGTCACAGTACATCATTTGAAAGTGCTACAGGCTCGACACTTCAAACTGCAAATTCGTATAACGAGTGACCGCGACCGGAGAAACTGCCTTCATCCAGTTCAGCTGCAGCAGTGACATCTTCACTTGCTTCTGTAGAGCGATTCACACATAATTTGTCTAAAATATATTTTACATGCAATACAATTATGTAAACAAATAATTGCGAGTTCACATTAAGTACTTGAAAAATGCCAGATTCGAAGAAACGTACGCATGGCTTTCATGGACGCAGAGAAGCTTTGCTACGACGTCGCCATACATCAACCACATAATACCGGCAGACATTCCGGCCTATTGGGTTGTCATTAATAATAGGCAGAAGAACAATCTAAATGAAATCGAAAGATGGTATAAAAAATAAGCATTGACGACGTTATAATTTAAGCTTTAATTCGCTTTCCACTTAGTAGTAGCAATTGTTCCTCCATGGTAAAAGTAGCAATTGTTCCTTCATGGAAGTTCGATCAGCAATCGGCCGTATACCCCACAAAGAAGACGAACGCAGGGATTACTAACTCGATTCCGATGAATGATTGATATTTTGTCATCGGAGATGATAGAAAGTAGATATGTTCTTGAATGCCGCAAGTAAGATACACGCCATTGGCAACAGTTAGTTTCCAGAAAAATAGATACAGACCAGCATGATAGCTGCTTCTGAGTTTGATTTATCTACGGTATGCCTTGCCAACATATGCCAAAACAGCACCAAACATCGGCATATAGTTATTTTAAACGAGCATGGCCACCGCATGAGACAATAAAACCCACAGCCATCATCGGTTATCATTTTACAAGACATAAACATGGAAATTGACTTGAACGACACCCACGATTTTATTCATCATGAGTTAGTTCAGTGGCCATAGTTGCTAGTCATTCATCATGAGAAACCGACCGACTACGAGTAGCTATGCGGAGCATTGACTCGTAAACATGATTGTTTGCACGTTATAATATAAAATAGAGAGATATTCTTCACGTTTCATAATATTTCATAAAGTAGTCTGAGACAATTAAAGGTTTATTGCATTGAGATGCAGTGGAGGAGACGCCTGTAGCAGCGACTAGCCTCTGCCGCTTGTGTACAGGGAAACCTACAACCTTTTCACCAGATTTTATCCATAGTAATTAATACTTTTTAGAACATGTTTCATACATTGAAAGAATAACAAAGAATAAATTCTCAACATAAATTGCACAAAACTAACTTATATTGCAATCTTAAATATTAGGGCTCGAATCATCATATTCCATCATAATTATTGAACAAAAGCATACGTGGAGTCAGAGTGAGAAGAGAGAAAAGACATGAAATTAGAAGATATCATAACTGAAGAGGCTCACCAAAACAAATGAATAAATAAAAATCAGAGCAGGAGATGATAAACCGATTTTCCTAGCCTGGCTGCAGCATGTATCTCACTTTTAGTAGAAGCAGAAAGTTAAGTCGAGAACACAATATGTGCATATAACTTATTAGCTTCTATGACTCGTGTTCATTAGAACGATGCTGCTGTAGGTATTCTAAGCTGACGTTGCACCGCATCTAATCCAGACTTTGGAAAGCGACACAAAAACGAGTAAGCGGTTTTGTTTAATCTTCCTGCCATTAAAAAAGACCATTAATGCAACAGACACCATTTTGATCAACTTCGTTGTGAGTAATCATAACATTTTGTAAAGGAGCATTTCACAGATGTAGCAAGTAAATTTTGCCTCAACGGATGAAACGTAATTGATGTCCGAAAAATCTTGAAGAAAGTCTGAAGAACAGCAGCACACAGGTAACGTTTACGGACGAGATGTGTGCTGGGTGAAGCGTTCCATGGGATGAACAATACCGACTTGGTGAGAGCCATAGCATGATGTATCAATGCACTTTGATCATTCTTACGGCAACGCGCGACACAAGCCAAGAAGAATTCCAAGACTGATTTTCAGAACACTCTTTTAGTGAGTAGAAAAAAGGCTACTGAGCCATGTGAGCCCAGAGGCTTTTATACTCCTACAACACAGGACGATCTGTTAATCGTTCCTCCTCAAGTCCAAACAAGTTTCAAGGAAACCGGCAGTCCACATCGCTGACCCCAACATCATTTGGTCTGTAGCACTTAACTAAAACTACGTAAAATCAAATCAGATCCCAGACGTTAGATGTGAAACACTTCAAAACATCGTGTCGCAGGGGAAGGTACGACGGGCATTTGGTCCAACCATCAGTTAGTGGAGTGAGCTAGTGAGCTTGTCTCGAGTGTCGACACGCTCGCCAGCGTTCTGCAGCAGCCACTGAGTTGAAGTCTAGTTTGTTTAGCAGTAAAAACAATGAAACACGTAGGCGTCTGGACGTTTAGGTTGATGATCTGACTTTGTGAGAGTGCGTTCATCTGAATGACCGAGGCAGTAGACAAAACCTACGTGGAATTAGAGTTGCGGACCTCAGGCAGCTGTTCCAAGAATGCCTCAGCGAGCGTATGAGAGGTACGTCGGGAGATGGGCTCGCGTGGATTGCTGTCGATGCTGCACTCGCTGCTGCTGCTGCGCTTCCTAAGAGGGCTGCTGATGGTCATTTCTCTGTTGTGGTTGTGGTCGGCGCTGCCACTGTAGCGTCGTACTTTATCGTCTTCTCTCTCGCTATTGCAACTCCCAATCTCACTGCAGCTTTTTTGATTGGGAGATTTCGAAAGTGCAACGCCATTGGTGATGGGTGCAGCGGGCCCGTTGTGCAACTTCTCCTTGATTGTATCGCAATTGCTTGGATCGGGCGAATCCGTATTAAGAATGTCGCCCTCGCAGTCGGCGAGGTCGCCATTGAGGGTGACCAGGTCACCTGAGAGGGTCGTTGGGGACAGAATAAGGCGGAGGTCGTCAGGGTCTTCGATGTCGCTGTCGTTCTCGCTGGTGTAGTCAATGCGAGGCAAAACTTTGTTGCAGCTCAGCTGCCGGTTGACTGCGCGCAGACGGGCCACCTGAAATATTAGAGCTTTCATTATTTAGTGTCATTAATATAGTGATTCAAATCACTTTCCTCCCTTTTTGACATCTATAACCACCTGAAATATTAGATCTTTCATTATTTAGTGTCATAAATATAGTGATTTAAATCACTTTCCTCCCTTTTTGACATCTATAAGACTAGAAATGAGTAGCAAGAGCTTCTAACATTAGCTAACGGTTAAGGGAATAGCGTTATGGCAGCAGCAATGCGTGAAGAATCTAAGTTCGATTAACATTGTTCTTGTTTACTGTGAAGTAGTAATTAGGAATGCGCGCTGTTTGTTTACAAGCTCACATTTGTCGTCTTGTTGACAATTATAGTAATCAATCAAATGCGACTTGTAGCGTTTCGAATCTCAACAAAACTTTTAGCCGTTAACTCGGCTCCAACAGAATGCAGTGAATATATAGCAAATAATTCATAGGGGAATTGATGACAAAGTTGGGACGTAAAAGAAACAGTCGCAGAGATAAATAAATAAAAACCGTACAATCTTATTATTATGATAATTCGGAGACAGATGATATCCACAAATAATTATTCAACAACGCTGGTCACACCCAAAATGAAACAGCGTAGAACTAATTACTGAGCTTATTGAAGAAACAGTTAAATAGAAAATAAATGGAACGACCTTTGTATCATTTGCACAAGAAACTATACACATAGAAATACGAGTTTTTAAAGAAATTCTAGTTGCCCAATATCGTCCTCTGTCTCCAATATGATCGCGTGTAAATATTAAACGAGATAAGGGGAAAATGAACATTTAATAAGTTTACACTGACCAAAAACCTTACGAAGTCGTTAAAATACAAGAAAAATTAAATCTTAACTACAAGTTCAACAATTAAGGGGACCGTCTAACCTAAAATTTTCAATTTTGGCGTTTTCCACTTTTTGGGCTCATCTTAAAGCTCACTTTTCAACGCATTCAACGGTACCAGAATCATCCCTGTGCGTCAAAAAATGATTTCGTGACAGCTTCCCAAAGAAGGGCAGTTTTTAGGCCCTTTAATTATGAATATCACGTTTTCTATCAATTTTTTCGAAAAATTCATAGAAGTAAAATGTTTTTATTTTTACATTTTACGTTTGAATGTGAAGTTTCATGATGATCGGATAATAACTTTAGGAGTTATAGGCTATCTCCAATTTAGGTTAGACGGTCCCCTTAAGGTAGTTTAGGTTGTTGATATCGATGTTCTTCACTGAAACGCATGCGTTGTATCCTAATTTAATGGATGATTTGCACCTAATAAAACAATAACAGCCAAATTAATGGTGGAATAAGTGCAAGATGCAAATGCAATGCAAAATAAGGCAAACGGTGACGTCATAGAAAAATACAGGAAACAAAAACAAATGTGTTACAGGGCTACGTGCTGGAGGCCGTCCTATATATATATATATATAGAGGATCAACCATATATGCTTATATTGCAACAAACTAGTAAGTGACTATAGCGAGATACTAGTGAATGATTAGTGAGATGTAGGTGTAGACTAGAAGCATGATAAACTTTCCAGTTTCTGGTTAATGATCGTCACAAAAATGTTATCTAAGTTTCAGCTAAGAACTTCTTCCGCAGAGAAAGAAACAATTGTGTAATTTTTCATGTGGCATCAAAATTATTAATTCGACTCAGCATCCGTTCTGAAAGTTAAAAAAAATTTCCATGTATTCGTTTCCATTTCTTGCTTGCGCACAACCAAAACGCTCAACATTTTCCCAATAAAAAAATCGCTTTGATCAGGAATATTGTCAAATAACATAAAAATGCGTAAGGTCAATAGAGCGAACATAACAACCATAGGAGATCATATATGAACTGAACAGAAGCCACATATTAACATGCGAGGCATGCGTGAAAATTTTTTCTGGCGTCTACACAAAGGAATAGAAATAATCGAATAAAGATGGCAGAAGAATGTGGGCATGAGTGACATTTATCTCACTCATGACATAACTACCTACATTTATAACAACTACACAAACGTACACCAGTGGACAGTGGTGCACTAGTGGTCACAAGCACACATACGTAACACTAGTGTACAGTAGTAAAATTAAGTACACTAGTGTACAGTAGCACAATTACGTACACTAGTGTACAGTAGTACAATTACGTACACTAGTGTACAGTAGTACAATTACGTTAGTGTACACTAGTACAATTACGTACACTAGTGTACAGTAGTACAATTACGTACACTACTGTACAGCAGTACAATTACGTACACTAGTGTACATCAATTACGTACACAAGTGTACAGAAATGATTATATAAAGTTTTGAGGAAAGAACTTACGCTTCCTTCAGTTGTCAGCGAGCAGCTGTGCAGGAAAGGTGCGGGTGAAACACAAGGTTAAGCTTGCTGCATACAACATGTCTTTACGACGCTCATATCTCGAGCTCGAAAAAAATTTGCTTTTGATTTAAATCAACTTTTGGTATCTCGAGTACAAAAGCTCGTTTGCAGTTAGTAAACCTCCGTTGCGGACATTCTCTACTTAAGTTTTGTCTACAGACTGTAAATATTTTGTGGTGGTGTTAAGAAGTACGTATTACAGTTTGTTTAATTTGTTGATAAAGTCAAGCGGATCGTTCGGTGCAACAAGATAAATGATGCGCGTGAGAAGAAGTGCAGTGTGGCTAGTGATGTGTGAGCCTGGCTACGTCAACATCACTTCTCTAGTAACATCCCCTCACTAGCAACATCCCCTCACTAGCAACATCCCCTCACTAGCAACATCCCCTCACTAGCAACATCCCCTCACTAGCAACATCCCCTCACTAGCATCACAGCGTGTAGGTGAGGTGGTGAGTGTCACATACGAGGTCCAACAATGGGACGTGAGGCAAGCGAACGTAGGTGCTAATAATAATAAAAATAAGTGTTCATAATGTGAGGCATGAACTGTGTTCATAGTATGATGGTGAACTGTGTTCATAGTATGATGGTGAACTGTGTTCATAGTATGATGGTGAACTGTGTTCATAGTATGATGGTGAACTGTGTTCATAAAGGAAAAATGATGGTAAACTATAATCGATCATTATATTATTTTAAAGACAACAACCTCTAACAGAATCAAAATCAGATCTATTGATATTTTTAGCTATTGCCGATATTTATAGTAGTCATAAATCAGAAAAGTGCTCGCAAAATTCATGATATGATAATAACATGATAATAAATGCAGAAAATATTCATCATTTTCAGGAATGAATTTTGAGCTGAAAATTACTTTGCACAGTCAGGGACCACGACGCATTCCTCAGTACATTAATTAGTACGTCTGTATATTATAAGAACAGGGCCTATACTTTCAAAAAAAGTTAAGAGATCGTAAGTTCATCAGCCACTCATTGACGGCCTTTCAAGCAAAATCCACAAATCATAGACAAGAAAATAGAGCGTAAGTACTTACGTTCACTTAGCGAGTTTTGAAAGTATTGCCCCAGGTCTGTTCAGGGCTCCGATTTAAGAAAACTAAACCCCACTTTTTCTAACAAAACGCACCTTTTCAATTTGAGAGAAAAGCCTAGTTTGTGATATTTTTCTGATGATCGTCGGAAAATTCGAGTTTTTGCTTAAGCCAGATACGAGTGAAGACTGTGTTTCTTAAGTCAGTAAAGTAAGGGCAAAATACGCACTTGAATAAGCAAGATAAAGAAAACGAAGTTATTTCCCCTGACAAGTTTCGTTATCCGCAAGACAACGAAGACGAAGATATTTCGTCTGACAAGTTTCGTTATCAGCAAACCAACGAAGACGAAGTTATTTCCCCTGACCAGTTTCGTTATCAGCAAGACAACGATCAAGACGAAGTTATCTCCCCTGACCAGTTTCGTTATCAGCAAGACAACGAAGACGAAGTTATCTCCCCTGACAAGTTTCGTTATCAGCAAGTTACGAAGTTATTTCCCCTGACAAATTTCGACAAGTTTCGTTATCAGCAAGATAACGAAGACGAAGTTATTTCCCTTGACAAGTTTCGTTATCAGCAAGACAACGAAGACGAAGTTTATACTTCCCCTCTAAAGTCTCGTTATCAGCAAGTAACGAAGACGAAGTTATTTCTCCAGACAAGTATCGTTATCAGCAAGACAACGAAGACGAAGTTATTTCCCCTGACAAATTTCGTTATCAGCAAGTTACGAAAACGAAGTTATTTCCCCTCTAAAGTCTCGTTCACCCTCACCCCTCACAGGAGGTCTCACCTCAGACTGCAGGTGGGCAAGCTTCTCCTGTAGGGGAGGCACCTGCTCGCTGTCACGGCTCACACGACCCACCTCTCCCTCCGTCACCAGCTCCTGGTTCTGATATAATTAAACTTTATTAATGCTTTAACAAGTTTTATTATGCTTTAAGATAATAATATTATATTAACATGTTTTATTACTCTATGTGCAAATAAGAGTGATGTCTGCACGCCATTTCAGCCTCAATATATTTTATGGATATTCTGAGGATGTTTTTTAGTAGCAGACGAGATTTAATACACATAATGTTTGTAAAATATGACGTCAATTCTAATGTCAAACAGAAAACTGATAACTGAATAACTTTCAAATTAAGAATTAATGCCATGATTATAATGAAGATGGTTTAAAATCAACTAAATCACACCAGATCGATGACAAATCATAAATAACACGACTGAAGCAACTAAGTACCTAATCAAATCTAAGCACCTAATCAAAGCTACTAAGCCCCTAATACTTTCTTACCTTATATTCCAGTGACGATATTTTTTGTGTGAGTTCCGCCAAATTTTGTGACTTCTCAGCCTCGCGAATCCTCGCCATCATTTTCTCCTCCTCCATCTGCAGAAAAATAAGAGACACTGTTGTTGTTGTTGTTGTAATTGCCCATGTTCTAATTGCCCATCCTGGTAGTGGCGACTAGGGACAGGGGTGATAGGTCAGTTTTTCCGGGCACTCGGTGCCACTGGTAGTTCCACGACCATCACTGGCTCGCTGACCCGCCAGAACCATTTGATTGCATTACACAACACCCTGGACAAGCCCGGTACTCATTTATCAACCAGAGTTGGATGAATGGCTGAGTTGACCATGAGCTGAGCTTGCCGGTAGAACTTGTCCTCAGTGGGACTCGAACCCGGGAGCTGGGTGCGAGAGACAGAGAACCCGGGAGCTGGGTGCGAGAGAAAGAGAACCCGGGAGCTGGGTGCGAGAGACAGAGAACCCGGGAGCTGGGTGCGAGAGACAGAGAACCCGGGAGCTGGGTGCGAGAGACAGTCTTTCACCACTGCACCACCACAGCTCTCATAAGAGACACTCGTCATGGCGGCGAGACATGAGCGATAAAAACTAAACCTTTTGGTGCAGGCTTCGTAAACGGGACTGTAGGCCTGTACAAAAGCCAACAGATTTTTTGTGCAAGTACTGCACAAAAAATCAAACGGCTATATAAACCATTGAAAAATAAATTACTAACTAGGATCTACGAAGATTAACTTCCTAAGTAACTAAGGCATAAAACTATATGAACTTTTAATTGGCAAAGCATCTCTCTGTCCGTATCACAAAATATTGAAGCGCGGCTTGTAATAATATAATATCTAATATAATAATAATAATATCGGTTTCAGCGTTTATTAGGCCGTAGGCCTGTCGCCGATTCTTAACATCGCAGAACATTCACAGCATTTTGAGGTCTCGAACTCGCAACTCACTGCTTCAATTCTGCTGTGCTTAACCGCCCAGCCTCCTTGCCGATTCTGACCAGAAACTGGCGCACAGAGCTGGGATCGAACCCGCGCCTCTTTGCGCTACTCTTGGTACTCTGAACTTTAACCACTGAGCCACCCTGCCCAGTGGTTACAACCAGTGGGCCACCCTAATCTTGCTGAGGTGTAATTCAGTGAACAAACTTTCAGGTAACCGCGTTGCTTGCGGCGGTTTTAATTTAATTTAATTAAAAAATGAACAAAAAAATAAAATATTAAAATGAACAAAAGCGTTTTAATTCAATTTAATTCCTTGCAAACACCTTTCAAACAGAGCACAGCTTTTCATTAGAGAAAAATGATAATACGGACAGCACAGATTTAGTACAGATAATGATAATAAATCGGAGATAATGAAAAATGATAATACGTACAGCAGAAACACTAATCACACAACATAGTATGCACT